CTCCTCCTCCCTGCAGACCCCCTTCCCTTCCAGCACTGGCGATGTACCTACTTGGGCCGTGAAACGACTGCGAGAAAACCACCCAGCTCAGAGAGCAGCGAGGACCCCCCCCCCAGTATCGTGCTGCGGTGTCCAAAGCAAAGGTTCCCCTCTGGAGACCTTCCCGCAGTGGGGTGTGCACGTAGACTAGTCCTGCAGGACCCATTTCTCCCTCGGTGAGCACTGGAAGTGTGCACGACTGGAAGCCTCCGTAGGCAAGTCAGTCTAGTGCCGAGCCCGCTTTTAAGCCACGATGGAGCCCAGCTTCCTTGACTCCCCCCCAAGTCTTTTCCCCAGGGACCTCCACGCCCCCCTCCTCTGCTTCTCTCTTCCTGCCCCAGGAGTGCCCCTGTGTCCTGAGCGAGGAGGTTCTGCAGGGGTTCCGGAAACACTCGGACGAGACCCCCGATTCGCCTCTGGTCATCCTGACTGCTCAAGGCCGACGAGTCTCCCCAGGAGAAGAAGTGGCGCCCAATAACACCATCTCTGCCGCCTGCAGCAACTGGTGAGTTTGCCCCCCCTTAAAAATGGGGTTCACTTCCTGTCCTCGGGGGGGAGAAGATTCCCTGAAGCCGGGGCCTCCTTTTTTGGGGGGGGAGAGAATATAAGTCATCCTCGACTTAATGATCACAGCGAAGCCCACCATTTCTATCGCTAAACGAGACAATTGTCGATGCGGGGTTTCGTCCCTGTTTTACGACCTTTCCCCTCGCGGTTCTCAAGCGCGTCCCCTGCAGTCGATGAAGTTACTAACCTGGTTAAGTGAACCTGGCTTCCCCGTAGATGTCCCTTGTTGGAAGGTCGCAAAAGGGGAATCACGTGACCCCCCCCGGGGACGCCGCGACCGTCAGTTGCGAAGCGTCCAAATTTTGGGGGGGAATGCTGCAACGGTTGTACGTGTGAAAGACGTTCCTGAGTCCCTCCTTTTTCTGGGGAGTTGTCACTTGGAACGGTCACTACACAAACCACCGTAAGTCAAGGACTTCCTGTATGAACCAGTTGCCGATTGTTCGAATTTCGATCCCGTGACCACGGGGACGCCGCGACAGTCATAAGTGCGAAAGAAATGCTCATACGTCACTTTTTCAATGCCGGCGTACCCTTGAACAGTCACTAAACAAGCTGTCGTAAGTCAAGGATTCTCTGCAGCCATTCTGGGGCGTGTGTGTGTGCTTTGATCCACTCACCCCTAAATTGCACCCGAAAAGGACTGAAACTCAGCCCCTCCCCATGGTTGTCAATCAAAGGCTATCCACCTTTCACGTTCCCTGGTCGTCCTCAACTTACAGCCATTCGTTTAGTGACCGTTCGAAGTTACCCCAGCTGTGAAACACGATGGCCGTTTTTCACGTTTACGATTGTTGCGGCATCCGCGCAGTCACGGGATCAAAATTGTCTCTC